TTACCTGTAACATATGTTTAGTAAAAGTAAATTAAAGCCTATATACATGTCCCACTGCTGGGCACAGGCCTTCCCTCAGTACTGAGAGGGTTTTAGGGAAAGGAAGTGTCCGTCCCAATGCGTGTGGGCGAACTTCACATGTCTTCGAAATAATTTTTTTTTTTATTCCTCAGACATGCAGGTTTCCTCACGATGTTTTCCTTCACTCCATTAGAGTAGACAAAGGTTATATGAACTTTACAATGAAAGGTCATATAATCCTAGCGTCGAATTTAGGGAATATGTAAAAAAATATTCCAAAATATTTAAAAGAGTGTGCTCCTTAGCCAAGTCATTGTGTTTAAGCAACAAAATAAAGACTGCTTCTAATAAAATTAAAATGACATGGAGTATAATTAATAGTGAAACTGGTAAGGTCAACTCTCGCAATTCAAACTACCAGTTAAGCTTTAACAATAAATTAACTAAATCAGATCAGGACGTTGCAATGGTTTTTGAGAAATATTTTACTGATATTCCGATCTTAACAACTAAGTCACTGAATTCTTCTCCTACCGTCGCCGAATCATTACTTAAACAAAATGTAAATATGTGTACAAAGAATTTTACATTTCATAAAGTTTCATCAAAAGATATTGTAAAATAGTTTAAGACTATTGATATTAAGAGAACCGCCGATCTGTGGGGGATTTCTGTTAAAGTTATTGCGTCTATAATAGATACAATCGCACCTCAACTATCTATTATTTTTAATAGTAATCTCAAATCTGGTGTGTTTCCTGATTTAATGAAGCATAGTAAAGTAATACCTTTATTTAAATCTGGTAGTACATTGGACCTCGCTAATTTTAGACCTATTTCTGTACTGCCAACACTTAGTAAAATTTTTGAAAAAATTATTCTTGATCAATTGTCAATTTTTTTTTAATGTAAATAAATTACTTCATAAAAATCAATTTGGTTTCACAAGGGGTCGTTCGACAACTGATGCTGGTGTTGAGCTGATTAAATATATATTTAATGCATGGGAGAATTCACAGGATGCTTTGGGTGTGTTCTGTGACCTATCCAAAGCCTTTGATTGTGTTCACCATGAAACATTAATCAGGAAACTTCAACACTACGGTGTAAGAAATGATGCTCTTAAATTAATTATTTCATATTTAAGTGACAGAACACAAAAAGTTGTTATTAATAGTATGAGTTCTTCCGGGTCGATTGTACAAATGGGCGTGCCTCAGGGCTCAATTCTCGGCCCCTTTCTGTTTCTTGTATATATTAATGACTTACCTTACATAGTAGGGGATAACCATGATATAGTATTATTTGCTGATGATACTTCATTAATTTTCAAATTAAAACGACAGTTATTAAATTACGACGAAGTAAATAATGCTATAGCTAAGTTAGTCAATTGGTTTAATGTTAATAATTTGCATTTGAATGGAATTAAAACTAAATGTATAAAATTCGTAACTCCTAATGTTAAACATGTCAATACTAATGTAATTTTAAATGGGGGGAACTGAGTCTTGTTGATACCACCATTTTTCTTGGAATCACACTGGACTCAATGGCACCCCCATATATCAAAACTAGCTAGCAGACTTAGTTCTGCAGCATATGCTGTAAAAAAGATTAGAACTCTTACCAGTGTTGAAACACCTAGAATAGTTTACTTTAGTTATTTCCATAGCATTATGTCGTATGGTATTTTGCTATGGGGACACGCGACTGACACTGAAATTATATTTATTTTACAGAAGAGGGCCATTAGAGCAATATATAATTTAAAACCAAAAGAGTCACTGAGGCAAAAATTTAAGGAAATTAATATATTAACTTTGGCCTCTCAATACATTTATGAAAATGTAATGTACGTACACAAAAATAAAAGAAGTTTTGCGAAAATAAGTGATATTCATTCTGTAAATACTAGGAGCAGACACAAGCTGGTAGTACCAGTTACTCGACTCCACCGAGTCAGTAATTCATTTTTGGGGCGATGTATACGCTTTTATAACAAAATCCCAGAATATATACATTTGTCATACACAAAGTTCAAAAATGTTATTAAACTAAGTTTGTATAAAAAGGGTTATTATAATGTCAAGGAATTTGTAGATGATAATAACCCCTGAGAAGGGTGATCGCTACCAAGCTATTTCTAATTTGTCTTGTGTTGTTGATTGTAAACATGATTGTAAGCTATTATTAAAAAAAAATAGTCCCGCTGGGTTTCTTGCTGGTTCTTCCCAGGAGAGGTTTTTTTTTGCGAACCAGTGTTAAATTAAAGAAGTGACTTTCAATAAGTATTTTATAATCTACATTGGTTAAAAAAGTTTTTATTTCTATTTCTATTTCTACTGCAGAGCACGTGGTAAATCAGCACTTAAAATTGCAATTAACAATTTCATTGGTGCCGGCGGGGATCGAACCCGGGTTACTCGCATTCTGTTATATTTACAGCGAGCGTTAACCATCTGAGCTACCACGGCTCGGCTATGTTTAGTACTAAAAATAATATTACTGGACGAATCATATAAAATAATAAAATTAAAAGTGTATTTTATGTATTTTATGATTTTTATGATTATTAAAAGTGTATTTAATGTTTTGGGTGTATGTATTGGTTATTAGAATAAGTGTTCGATATAAAATTACCAATAAGACTAAAAACTAATAATTTATAACAAAATAACATAAAAAACACACAGAACGCGATTTTTATGTCAAAACTAATTTTAGACCTTGTTAGTAATCTAATTAGATTATAAGAACTTTTTCTAATATTGCGCACATTTTGCATTAATAGTTTTATGGGCTGATACGAGTAGCAATTAGTTGTATTGTTTTTATAGCAATGTTCTATATCACAGTATGAAGAGGTTGCTGTTTTGATTGTGTCTAGATCGTTAATAATATTCTTTATATTTGCCTTTTGTAATATTTTTTAAACATGTACAATCTATCATCATGGAGTCGATGTAAAAAACTGATTAAGAACTTAATTTTAAGGTGCATGAATACTTTAGTACTAAATAAATATTAAATATTTAAGGATAAAATATTTGGTAAATCCTTGTATTAATTCTAATAGTAAACATAAAGCTACTCACCTGTGACATATGTAATGTTATAATATTATTACTGGACAAATCATATATAAGAACAAAGTTAAAAGAGTGTCTATGTAGTGTAAATGTGTTGCATGTATGTTATTGGTTAATAAAATAAGTATTCAATATAAAGTTAACAACAAAACTGAAGACTAATAATTTATAACAAAATAACTTAAAAACATACAGAGTCATAGCTTTAGTTTTGACAGATCTTCTTCACTTTCAATATGGATTGTTTGCATCCCGTCTTTCTTGCGTAAAATGACATTGTTCTGTCACTTATTGAGATTAAAGTTGTACTATGGCAGTTTTTTTATTTTATATCACTCTCATAGACAGAAATCATAAAACAACGACATAAAAATAAGTTTTATAAGGGAGTTTGCATACACAATTGTTCAGAAATAATTTTAGTGATACTATAATAACACTTAGAGATGTATAAGCAAGAGACAGCATTCAAAAACCAGCTTCTGTACAGCTTTAATGATATATTCAGATCGAAGTGTTACAAAATACTTTAAGTTGTATACTAGAGTTTTCATATCCTGATTAAGAACCCTAAACTTAGATCCCATAATATAGACTTTATGCAAATTGAGTTCTATAATAATAACTCATAAACTGGAATAGTGAAGTTCGTAACACTTGTGTGCTGTTTAAGTTGTGTTTTTTTATAGAATAAGGGTGACAAACGAGCACACAGCCAGCGTGACGGGAAGTTGATGCTGTGGCCCATAAACATCAACATTTATCCGTAATTAAGTATCGAAATGCAGACGGAATGCCTCATTTCCAGTGAAATAGGAGCTCTGGTTCTCTACACTCATTATACGAAACACAGCAGCACTAAGCTGCTATTTCACGCTGGTATTCTGTCAGAGCGTGGTCCTTCCCCGGTCGAGCCGACCCATTCGTGCTACCACCACATATATGTAGTTGCAGCGTGGCTCTGCCACTTAGAACAAAAAATTTGAAAATCATTGATTTTTATACAAAGAAGTTAAAAAACAGTCTAATAATACACAAGCGAGAATTGGGGTTTCACACACAAAAACAGCGAATTATAGAGAGGGTTATGCTCGAGGTCCCTGTAACATGATAAATTCATTAACAAGGATATCTAGTTAAACAATGAGCAATGTAACATGACAGTGTGTTGAAATTTAAGACACAATTTAATTGCTGAAAAAATCAAGCAAAAGTAAAGTTAGTCATACAGTTGCTAAAATAAGTTAGATGTATCTGTATATACTGTGTTCCTAGCCGTGTTACGTGTAGTTTTAAGAATTAAATAAGTGTTATATGTGTACTGCACCTAATCTGTCTCCGATCGTATCACATTTCCGTCTAATTGGATTATGACTCATCATAATCACGAAAGTATCGCGGCTTTAAATGGATCTCTTTATCGTCTATATACGAACAGTGTTTTGTTGGTTAAAACTGGACAGCTTGGATTCAAAATCACTGAAATGGCTTTCGACGTAAAAAAATAGATATTATAATTGGTGAAAGAGGAAATAATTATAGATACAAACGTAATGACACTTACGATCGTTGTTCTCCTGATGGTTATTTTATGTCTATTTTTTTAATACTGTACCTTGCAGTACTATAGAGTGCCATGAAAAATATGTATTTGATTTTGTACTTTTTATTAGATTCGCCTATTTAATTATCTTCTCATGGGAATAAACAAAAGGTCATGAGCTTTATTTTTTGTGTAATGATACTTTGATTAGCAACTTATTTTTAGCTATTACAACATAGAAGGAGACTAATAGACTTTAATATGATTTTCAGAAATGTTTAAAATATCAAAAAAAAATACTTGACTATATTAATTTGTTTAATCATACTTTAGTTTCAGTACATTTAATGAGCTCTTAAGGAACTTCTGGATTGTGTCGCCAATGTCTGAATAGTAGGCGCTTGATTTTCTAAGAAATTTTTCAAATCATCAATGATCCCTGCTAAGACAAGAGAAAGAATATTGTATTCGTAAATGTTCTTACAATAACCGTAGTATTGAATTAGCGCCGCCTCCATGCCGTAAGCCGATGGTTTAGCGTTAGATTTAAAATCGAAATCAGTTCTTTCGCTTGTTCCATTTGGATAAATAAGATATGCAACATTATCAGACGTGAAAGGCACGCCATTTTCTAGAAAAAAAGGGGGCTTGATAAGTCTGACGGAATTCGGGTTCTTAGGTAAACCTTCTATTTTCTTCACACCGTCATCATTTACAACATACGGTTTCTTATTTACACCATAGAAAAACAAATTATTAGAGTTGTCCAAAACGATTTCTCGAGCACCTACAACGTCATCAATTTTAACTTTTTTCTGCCCTTCTTCAGTGACTTTGTACACATCATGATCCTCAGTTAAAATGTAAATAACATCTGTAGCGTTTTCTTTAGCGATGCCAATAATGCTGTCTCTTACTGTACCGTATTTTACAGCTTTGGTTTTCTTTGGGTCGTATTTGTAAATTCCATCCTTTGCACCGAAAAACACGTCCTTGCTATCATCAGAAGAAGCAGCGGCGTCTCTTCCGTTGCCCAATATTTTTTTAGCTTTACCGTCTTTAAGGACATAGAGGCCTTTGTAAACTTTATTGCCAGCTGCATCTACATCAGCTTCGACAAAGAATAAAGTAATGTTGCTATTGTCACTTGTTTCGTTATCTTTGGCATCATCATTAAAGTTCAATGAATTTAGGGGAACAATGATATTTACAATTTCATGTTTACCTCTATATACTATAAAGGAATCCGGGAAAAAATCTTTGGTTACAGTGATTTGTTCATTTTCGCCACTCTCTTTGCTTTCTTTACTTTCCACGTTTTCTTTACTCTCCTTGCTTTTTTCAGGTGCTGGTGCGGTAACGGCCAATCCGATTAGCAGGAAAAGTGAAAAGGTATTAAAAAGCTTCATCTTTGTCACTGCAATGAGAAAATAATATTTTTAAATAAATTAGTGTTAAAGTATACTTAGATGTAAAAAGACTCTATTTATAATATCCACCGATATGATATCAAAGTAGTAACCCCTTGTAAACAATATCAGCTACGTGTATTTTGGAGATGCCGTATGGTTTAATGTTTTATACGTCCCATCTTGGAATACCAGCCTGAACGAAATAAAACATTTATTGTTTTTATGGGTTTGTATAGGAAACGTGTAGGTCAGACACAATAATAGCTTTTCGTAGACTTAACGGCTTAGAAGCGCATTTCCATGTAGGGCCATTGTACCGCGGGTTTAAATTGGAACATGCATTTTTTTTATTAATTATGCAAGGGCTATATATTTATCAATGGAGTGACGACCTGGTAAGAGATACAGGAAGTTGATGGATACAGGTCGCTTAAGGCCGTGCATTATCGTATTCTTACTACTATAGAGGCACACTCAAGCACTTACGAAAAAATCATCAAAAGTGATCCCACCGTTCTCAAGTGATTCATACATGTGGCAATTGAGTTTTATTTAGAAATCTAAAATCTAAAGAACACCGGCAATGCGCTAAAACTAGTCATATTTTTTTAATATATATATATATATAAATATATATAAGGAAAAGGATGACAAACTAGCATACAACCCACCCGATGGTAAGTGGTTGCTGTGGCCCACAGACATCTACATCTATCCTCGTTTGCGAATTAAAATGCAGATGCGTTGTCAGCTTAGAGGACTAAGATGGAATGCCTCTTTTCATGTAAAAAGGGTCTCCGGTTCTCCACAATCACCATACGAATCACAGCAGCATTAAGCTGCTATCTGACGCTGGTATTCTGTGAGAGCGTGGTCCTTCCCCGGTCGAGCCGACCCATTCGTGCTAAAACTATACAATTGATATAGCTACAGCATGGATCTACCACGTAGAGACTTTGAGAGTCTTACGTCGTTTATACGTGGTAGAGCCACGCTGCAGCTATATTATAGTTGTAGCGTGAAAGAGTCGGCTCAACCGGGAAAGGAATACGCTCTCACAGAATACTAGCGTAAAATAGCAGCTTAATGCGGCTATTTACTGGAATTTAGACATAAGATGAATCTTAGTCCTCAAACGTGACAACGCCTTTGAATTTTGATTCTTAATCCAGGTTAAATGTAGATGTCTATTGACCACAGGATCCACTTACCATCAGGTGGACTGTGTGCGCGTTTGTCACTACAATTCTATAAAAAAACATTTATTCATATCTATTAAAAGTTCATTGCTGATTCTAAATATAGGCCACCCCAATAGATTGCCTTATAGGCAGACTGGGAACTACAGTATTATTATAATTGAACTGTTAACATTGGTAGCGGATGGTACTCCAACCGCTACTACACGGTACGTTAAAATAAATGCAAAATACATAATTTATACAAATTTTTCGTACTCACCGCTGTCTCAGACGAGTCCTTAATGTTAAAATTCTTTTCGTTTCTTAAATTATATAAACTGGGGATTGCTGATAAGGTTATGGCCAAACGTTGACTCCCCGAACTGAGAAACGTGATACCCTATAGCCGTTACAAAATGACTCCTATGAGTACGTAATAAAGTATTGAGTAAGTGTAGGAGAACATTGTTGATCTGTTGATATTGGCAGTTTATTGTTTATTGTTATATCATTAGCTTAATTAAGTACGACCTAATTTATTACTTTTGTTCTATATCTAAATCTGTAGACTGGTCTCAAACTATTGTGTTAGTTGTGTTATCAGTTGTTCCATGCCGAAATTCACAAAACTTTAGGAATCACCGCTTGGTGTGTCGTTAACTTTTCCTCCAAGCGTTTTCACGTGAATGATGGAATTTTTTTAAGACTAGTGGCTCGTTCGACGTGAATAGAATATATTGATTACATATTTCGTTTGAGAAAATCTTAAAGATTTTCGGATGAAATATATTCTTAATGACATAACTCTCTGTTCACAATCGGTTCAGTTAATTTAAAGGACAGCCCGACCAATAAAATTTTAAAAATAGTTATTTAATATTTATATCTCAAAAGTACGTACGTTTTATTGAGAATTGAAAAATCTTTATTGCAACAAAAACGAATTTATACATATCAATGTGATCCTAGCTCCTGTAAAAGGTCAACCTGAGTGACAGGAGCTAGTTAATTACTAAATTTAACAAGCTTTTGTTGAATAAAACACAAAAAAATATATAGATACGTGTTTCTAAACCTACGTGCGAGAGCGCCTTGTGTGTTTTCCAAAAGAGTTGACTTTGAGCTGTGGTAGAAACCTAATAGTTTTAGAATATCGGTTGAGGTATCCAGATTCCGTGTAGTGGGGATATAAGGTTATACACTACCCGATCATATCATCCCGTGGGTGTCGTAAGAGGCGACAGAGGGGAACAAATCAGGAGATGGGCAGCAGAGTTTTCCTAATAGCGACTAAACATAAAACATTGCGTTTGCCAACCCGCTTGCCAAGCGTGCCAACTTTGGCAAATATCCCCCCTATGAGGCAATGCATGGATGACGCCTATGTTCAGCTGTCTTCTCTTGTTAGGCTGTGATGGTTAATGGGTAACCCATCCATTAACGAAAACTTCACTCTTATTATAAATATGAGTTATTTAATACTTAATAGTCTCGGGCCTATACTTATAAACCTTTGAAATGTTCTACAACCACATATCACAGTTTAACCTTTAAAATCCTATCAATAAATTATGTTGTAAAACATTTTAACTTTTATAAGATTACGTGGTAGAGTTATAACATGGTAGAGCCACGCTGCAGCTAAAGTAAAAAGTAAAGTAAAGTTACAGCCTATATACGTCCCACTGCTGGGCACAGGCCTCCCCTCATTTCTGAGAGGTTTTTAGGGCAAGAAAGTGTCCGCCCCGCTGCCCCAGTGCGTGTTGGCGAACTTCACATATCTTCGAAATATTTTGTTCTTATTCCTCAGATATGCAGGTTTCCTCACGATGTTTTCCTTCACCGCCGAGAACGTAGTAAATCAGCACTTAAAATTGCAATTAACAATTTCATTGGTGCCGACGGGGATCGAACCCGGGTTACTCGCGTTCTGTTATATTTACAGCGAGCGTTAACCATTGAGCTACCACGGCTCGCTGCAGCTAGTATACGTCTATTGTTCAATCGGCTCAACCAGGGAAGGACCAAAGAATATAGTAAATATTATAAGAAAAGAAGGACTACACTTTTAAAACTGCATTTTTAAAACTGAAATTTAAATATTTTGTCTAAATTATTTTAACAGGGCTTCTACACATTTGATGGTAGACTTTGCTGTGGTTGCTGCTTTAATTAATAAATTCCGCACAAAAATAAGAGAAAGGTATGATGCGGCTCAAATACTTGAAATAGTTTACCAAAATATGGAGACAAATAATGATTTGTCTGAGTAACGTAAAGTAAGACGCAATCTAAATGGAACTAGGAAACACTTTAGAAATATAAATGTAGACTGAAAATGTACCAGCGTAAAAATGCTGCTGTTTTTTTTATGGGTTAGGGTGCCAAACGAGCACAAAGTCCATCTGATGGTAAGTGGTTGCTGTGGCCCATAGACATCTACACCTATCTTAGATTACGAATCAAAATGCAGATGCGTTGTCACCCGTGACGACTAAGATGAAATGCCTCGTTTCCAGTAAAAAGGGTCTCCGTTTCTCTACACTCGCCATACGAAACACAAGCAGCATTAAGCTACTGTTTCACGCTGGTATTCCGTGAGAGCGTGGTCCTTCCCCGGTCGAGATGACCCATTCGTGTTACAACTATACTTCTAATATAACTGCAGCATGGCTTTACCACGTATAAATTGTGTCTACGAAGTCATATGGTAGACCATACATTACTGTATTTCTACTAGAGATGGTAGACGTAATGAAATACGACATTGAATAACAAGTCATACTCGAACCTTAAAACTTCCTGTATGTACTAACAGATGGCGTTAGAAATCTTTATTTGTCAGTTTCTGTTTCTGTTCTATTAGTAATTAACCAGAAATAGATAGACACAGGCAAGTAACGAATTTGAATTCTTGAGCATTGAATTTAAACTTGACTTTCAATACATTGAAAAGTACTATTGATTGTACGCCAGCTTTATATAAATGAATTTATTATTAGGTAATATATACTAGAGTTATAAATATTCCTGAATTTTCCATGAATTTTGAAAATTAATACTGAAAATAAATCGTTTCGGATAATGTTTAAAAATATCTTTCAATAATAGGTGAATTTAGAATAGTGACATCTAGTGGTAGCTGGTGGCAAGCTTAAATGGTCCTTGAATATTTTTTATTTCAGTAGCAAAAACATCAACCACTGAAATACCTATTTTTATTGTTTTTGTTTTGTGTGTTTTTATTTTCCTATTCCGGTGTCAAAAATAATTAATTAAATTGTCTTATCTTACTGGAATCAGGTATACTAGCTTTATTAATATGTTTTAGGATACATATGTGAGAATTTTATTTCTATTTGAAGTGGTAATAATAAATTTAAATTAATTCTTTAACACGCATAAATATAAGAGAGAAAAAACAGTAAAAAGGAAACGGGGCTCGTCCGGGATTTGAACCCGGGACCTCTCGCACCCTAAGCGAAAATCATACCCCTAGACCAACGAGCCGGTGCTTTATGTAATTGAAATTATATATTAATATTACAATTAATGCATTTATTTTATGACGTACATAAAAAATCATTTATAATGTCTTGGAAGGCCTTTATGGCATCTGATTTACAAACATGGCTTATCCTACAATAGCTTCATATTATGATTTACCACGTGCTCGGCGGTGAAGGAAAACATCGTGAGAAAACCTGCATGTCTAAGGAATAAGAAAAAAAAATATGTCGAAGACATGTGAAGTTCGCCAACAAGCATTGGGGCAGCGCGGCGGACACTTCCTTACCCTAAAATCTTCTTAGAAAT